TATTGCCAATAGGCGATGCTTAAAACTGGTTGCAGACCAGGGGCAGTAAGTTAGTATTGAGTAACCATATAAAAATATTTAAAGGAAAAATTAATGTGGATTTTTTTAATTTTTTTTTTTAATTTTTTTTTTTTAAAAAATTTTTAAATTTTTTTTAAAAAATAATTTTTTTTTTTTAAAATTTTTTTTTCATTTTTTTTTTTATAGTTTTTTATAGTTTAATTAAATTTCTATACTTTATATAACAAATACAGATAAAATGGATGATACACAAGTCAATGCTCAACTTGATCAAATGAAGAATTTCATTCTTCAAGAAGCTCAAGATAAAGCCAACGAAATTAAAACTAAAGCTACCCAAGAATTTACCTCAGAAAAAGGTAGAATTTTCCAAAGCGAAAAAATCAAAATTATTAAAGAATATGAAAAGAAACAAAAATTAATTGAAGTCCAAAAGAAAATGTAAATAATCATTCATTAGAAACATTATAGATAAATATAATTAAAATATATTTATAAAGAAAAAAAAAAAAAATATCACACACAGTTTTTTTTTTTTTTTTTTTTTTTTCGTTTAAAATCACCTCTACACAGTTTTATAGTATGGTTTTTTTTAATAGAAATCAATATATTATTAATAATAATAGTTCATAACAATAATTTTATTTATATATTCGATCACTTTTTTTTTTTTTTTTTAAAAATAATATGATCACAAAATGATCAATCAGTCAATCAATGAATTACATTTAAATAATAATTTATTTTATATTAATTTTTTTTTTAAATTTTTTTAACAATTTAGTAATCTTTCAAATGAATTAAATAAATCACGTTTATCTGTATTAAAAGTTAGAGATGAATGTCTTCGTGAAATCATCAAGGAAGCCCAAAAGAAACTCGCCACTGTTTCAGACGACAAAGGTTCTTATCAAACTATCTTAAAAGGTCTTATCATTCAAGGTTTACACAAATTAAATGAAGCTAAAATTGTTGTTGTTGGTCGTAAAGAAGATGTCCCACTCCTCGAAAAAGCCTCATCAGAAGCTGCTGCTGAATATAAATCATCTACCCACAAATCAATTGAAGTCATCGTCGACAAAGAAAGATTCCTTCCACAAGGTCCAAAACCAGACTACAACGGTCCAGCCTGTTCAGGTGGTGTAATTTTAAGTGCCCTCGAAGGTAGAATTATTTGTAAGAATACTTTAGATGCTCGTCTTGAAATTTGTTTCGAACAATTAACCCCAGTCATTAGAACTCTTTTATATGGTCCATCAGCTAGCAGAAAATTCTTTGAATAAACTATATTTAAAGATAATAAAAATAATAATAATAATATAACTATAAAAAAATAAAAAAAATAAAAAATATATAAAAATATTAAAAAAAAAATATAAAACAAAAAATAATTTTGGAAAACAACCAGTTACAGAAATTTAGATTGCTAAATCTTTTTTTTTATTTTTGGTCTTTATACAGACAATATTTACAATAAACTTTTGAATCCATATAATATTCAATATTTATAAAATAAAAATAAATCTGTTTTATTATTTTTTATTTATATTTTGCTACATTTAATATCGAGTGCTTTGTCAACCTTTGGTTGGAAAATTGGGGTGAATACACATTTTGTTTGTTAAAATCTTTAGTAAATAGGTGCATGATGATGGGCTCTGAGATATCTTGGGAATATTGGTTGTTGGGCATCTTTAGAACAATAATATCTAACTTCGGTGAATCTAAAAATAAAATAATAAAAATTAAAAAATGTTATTAAAGATAATAAATAGAATGAAATGAGGTTTAATCGTTGTAAGTACCTTTTAATATTTAAGATTTCACAATCTGTACCACCTTCATAAATTTCAGAGAAATATGGCAAGTAAATTGCAGATGACGATGAGGATGAATGGGAGGATGGTATTTCGGTAATTTCTTTTTTCTTGTATTTTTCTAAAATATTTTGATCTATACCTTTGATGGATCCATTAGAGTCAGATTCATCATTGTTATAGGCACCTAATATAAACTCGCTTGCTACAACACCTTTTTCTAAATGCATTTGTCTAACTTTATCTTGATAACAAAATTCATATGACCACCAAATAGCAGGATTAACTGATTTAATACACTTGTTTTTTAATGTTGATAATGAATCCCTAATCTTTTCGATGGTTGGAACTTCGACCCATTCTTCTTTTACCTTTTCAACTGGTTTTGGAATTAAACATTTATATTTTGTACCATCTTTTGAAATCATTTCAATATTGTTATATTGGTTATCGCTATCGTTATTAACATTATTATTATTATCATTATTATTATTGTTATTATTATTGTTATTATTAATATTATTATTATTTTTTAAAACTACATTATATTTTAATTGCTTTCTTGTTAAAAATGAATTTGTAAGCTTTTTTTCATTTTCATTTTTTTTATTATTGTTACTATTTGGTTTGGTTGTTATTATTTGATCTGGTTGTACAACGGGTGTTTCTGATGTTTTTGGTTCTTCATTGGGTTGTATATTTGCATTAATAGATAATATCAATAATGAAATTGAAATCAATAATAAAATGAATTTTAAAATCCTCATTCTTTAATCTATTTATATATTTCTTTATTTATTTTTTTTATATTGTTTTCCTTAAAATTATAATCTATTTTATTTAAAAAGGGTATTACTAATTGGTTTAAAAAAGAAATAGATAAACAAATGATAAATAAATTAAATAAAATAGAAACACTTTAAAAAAAAATATTTTTAAAATTTTAATAAATTAAAAAAAAAAAAAAAAAAAAAAAAATGATGATAAAATTTTTTTTTTTTTTAAAATTTTTTTTCATTATTAAACTTTTTTTTATTTTTTTTTATATTTGTGAATATAAATATTGTAAAATGTCAGATCCAAGAAAAGAGTCATTGGTTGTAAGCAACTTCGAAATGAGAATTAATACCGCAGATTCTAAAGAAGAACTTGAATATTGGTCACTTTTTTGTTTTGTTTTTGCTTTTACAGGAATCATTTTTAAAGTATGTCTTATAAAACCAAAATAACCACATAAAACCCACATATATATATATATATATATAATACAACATACATATAGATAAATATACATAAAAATAAAAATTTAAATATTCATAAGTTTAGATTTTTCTTGAATTTTAGAGATAGTCTTAATTTCATTTCATTATTATAAACATTCATAAAAATAAAAAAAAAAAGAATAACTATTAAAAATAATCAATAATATTAATAATAAAAACAAATATTTGTGCAGTACCAATAATCATAATAATAATAATAATAAAAACAACACCAATTATCTGGGATTTTTTTTAACAAAAAATAAAAACTATAAAGAAATAATAAATACAATTTAATATTAATTTTTAATTTTTTCTTTATATAGTATAAGGTGTGTTTATGGACTTCAGTTGTTTGTTGTGTTGCATATTTAGCAAATTTAAAATCAAAAGATATTGGTGCAAGACAAATTGTTTCATCTGTTAGTTTAAGTTTAATGGGTCTTGTAATGGCATACTTTGGACCAAATGCAAATTTATTTGTTTAGTAAAATAATAATAATAATAATAATAATAACAATAATAACAATAATAAAATATAAATATAGAAATTCAAAAATAAAATGTAAAAAAAAAAGTTAAAAAAATAAATAGAAAAAAAAAATAAAAAAAGATATGAAAATATTTTCAGATTATCATTCATCATTCATTTTTAAAGTCGGTTTGTTGAAAATTTTAACCAATCAGAATTAAATTGGAATAAAAACAGAGGAATATTTTATTGGATGGTCTTGGTAAACCAAAAATGGTGTTATAGATTATCTGAGCAGTTAATAAGGGAAGAACACAGGACACATTTAGGTTTGTTTTTTTATTATTATATTTTTTATATATTTGTAATGTTATTTTAAAATTAATATTATTCACCAGATGAAACAAAAAATCAAATATTGCTTCAAAGATATAGAATTATCCTTCTAAAAAAAAAAATACATATAAAATAATTTATAGAAACTTCAATAATAATAATTAATAATTATTTAAAAGGAATATTAAATAATAGATTTAATGCTTTCTTAAAATAGTTAAAATTTTTTTTTTTTTTTTTTTTAGATTTTACTTAATATTAATAAACCCTTGAAAAATTTAAGAATTTAAACTTTTAATTATTTTTTCTTGCATTTTGAAAAATTTGTATATATATAAATATATGTATATATCCATATATTTTTTTTTATTTATGGTATAAATAAAAAATTAAAATAAAGTATTATTTCATATATTAAAAAAAAACTAATTATAAAATGTCGTCGTTTTTTATAGGACATAAGGTAAAATAAAGAAAATGCTTAAAAATTTTTATATATTATAGAATTTTTCTAATAGTTTTTTTTATAATTATTTAATAGGGTGAAAATAAAAATTTATTATTGGAACAAGTTAAAAAATGTATTGATTCTTCAATTGAATGGAGAAAATATTATAATAAAAGTGAACCTAGTATTTTTAATAAAGATTATTTAAAAAGTAAAGATTATTTAAAATTTAAAAATAGTTTAAATGATAATTCAGAAAAGTTATGTGATTATTTAAAAGATTCTGTTCATTTTGAAAGTTTAGGTTACCAATCCCAAATGAATGGTGATTTATTAGTACCTGGTATTGTTGGTAATATTGCAGGTATGTTGTATAATCAAAATAATGTTGCACACCAAGGTTCACCTAAAACTACATTGTTAGAGCATGCTTTGATGATAGATTTAATAAAAATGGTTGGTTTTGAGTTGCCAAGCGAAGAAATTTATTATCAGTTAAATGTTGATGAACAGGGATGTATTGAAAGGGAAAAGGATTTAATCATTCCTTTTGGTCATATAACTTCAGGTGGTAGTTTAAGTAATTTCGAAGCATGTTGGTGTAGTATGTGGGTTAAATATATACCACTATCAGTTAAAAATGCATTATTAAAACAACGGAAATTTATAAATTCTTATAATTTAAATATAGAGTTGGTTAGTGGTGAGTTTAAAAAATTAATAGAAATGTCATCATGGGAATTGGTGAACATAAACTCTGAACAAGCAGCTAAATTGCCATATCTGATTGCAAAATATTGTAATTTAACTTTATCAGAGGTTTATTCCACAATTAAAGAATATCACCCATCAACATTGGGTTTGTATGATTTTCTTTTAAACAATAAACTAAACCCACCTACAATTATTACACCAATAACAGCTCATTATAGTTTTCAAAAAACAGCAACTGCTTTAGGATTGGGTGTTAAAAATTTAATACAAATACCAGTAGATGATAAAGGTAGAGTGGAGACTAGTAAATTATATGAGCAATTATTGGTTTGTATTAAAAATGAAATACCAGTGATTAATTATGTGTCAATTTTAGGATCCACTCAAGAGGGATCTGTTGATAATATTGAAGAGATATTATCAATTAAAAGAAACCTACAAAATTATTTTAATTTTAATTTTGATTTGCACATTGATGCAGCATATGGGGGTTATTATTTATCAACACAATTAGATAATTGGCAGATGCAGGGCCCAATTGACCAACCTGATTTATTTAAAAATCATAATATGGAATTTATAATTTCAGATTCTTCATTCGAGCAGTTTGAACCAGATCTAATCTGTAGTAGTTATTTAAAAAAGCAATTTTATAATTGCAGATTTGCCGATAGTATAACAATTGATCCTCATAAAACTGGTTATACACCCTACCAGTGTGCTTCAATAGTTTTCAAAAATTCAAAATATAAAAATATATTATCTATAAATAGAACTTATATTGGTAATAGTTCATTATCAATGGGTATTTATTCTATAGAGGGGTCAAGAGGGGGTAGTTTTGTAACGTCTGCATTTTTAAATCATTGTGTTTGTCGTCCAAGTAAAATAGGGTATGGTTTAATCTTAAAAAAATGTTTATTGATTTCAAAGCTATATATTATAAGGTTATTGTTTTTATCGTCAAAGGATGATCTCTTTACAACATTTCAAATTGGGTTTGAACCTACTAAATCCCAAATAAAATATTTTAAAAATGAATTATATAATGAAGATGGGTCTTTCAAAGATATTGAAGAAATATGTAAAAATGAATCACTATTGCAACAGTTATCAGAAATTGGAACCGATTTAGGTGTAGTTTGTTTTGGGTTCAATTTTAAATTACCACCATCACCATCATCATCATCATCTAAAGATATAAATATAATTAAAACAAATACTGATTATAAACAATTAATTACATATAATGAATGTATAATGAAAAGATTCCACTACACAAACGGACCAGAAAATGAATTGATTCTAACAAGTACATATTTTGACTCTGATACATATGGCGTTGATTTTGTTCATTCAATAATAAAATCAATTGGTGTAGTTGATAATTTACCTTTGAATTCATCGATTACCGTGCCTGCTTTACGTGGTTCCATTATGAATCCTCATCTTTATAAATATTTAGATAAAACTATGTCTATTATAAAAGATGAGGTAAACTCAATTTCTAAACCTTTGTATAAATAAATGCATAAAAAAAGAGTTTTTTTTTTTTTTTTTTTTTTAAAATTTTTTTTTTTTATATTTTCATAAAATATTATTATTTTTTATTTTTAATTTTTTTCTGGCAATTATAGCAAAATTAATTTTTATAGTTTTTTTATATAATATCATTTAATTTCTCATCCATAAAAACAAAATATTCATAACATTGTCACCCACACTCGCACACACCCATACAAATAAATAGTTAATAATAATAATAATAATAATAATAATTGTAAAAAAAAAAAAATGTTATTAAATAAAAAACTAACAATTTTAAAATACCCAAAAACTGAATTAAATATTGAAGGTAAGTTTATCATTAAATGTAGATAGTAGCAGTGCGCACAATATTAACACTCCTTTTTACTTTACAGAAAAAGAGCAATTTATATCGGTAGTAAACTATTTATTCGAAAAAATATTTAATAGTAATAATGTTGATTTAAGTTTATTGATGAATGTAACAGATGAGTGGGAAAATCAAGTTAAGTCAATTATTGCACAACATCAACTACCAATTCAAACTTTAAATTTAGCAGATACAAAAGATAAAGAGTTATTACTCGAGAAATTAACAAATTTAGCAATTAAAAGAGTATATAAAGATAATTCTGAACAAATTCACGAAACTAAATATAAATGCCTTCAAAGATATAAATTAGAAAATATTAAATGTAGTTATACTTATTCATCAGGTTTTTATTTAAAAATGATACTAATTATTATTATTATTATTGTTATTGTTATTGTTATTTTAGTTGATGAAAAAGCTTTGGTTGAGGAAATCTTAAATTTAGCAAAATTATTTAAATTAAATGTGGAACTAGGTGATGCACATTATACAACTTTATTATCAATGATTGTTAGAATCGCAGAAAGAAAATTTTACGATATTCCAACTATTTTAAAAGAAGAAGAGGATAAAAAAAGTAAAGAAGCAACAACAGAAACAAATACAAACAGTAATAATAACAATTTAAATGATAATAGTACAAACGAAGTTGTTAATAATAATATTTTTCCACTCGGTTTTGATTTTAAAGATGACAAAATTAATTCAGCTGCCACTATTTTAAGATTACTTTATGTTTCAGATCTTAGAGAATTACAAAATAAAATAAATCAAGTTTTAGCAATTGTTCAAAAATATACCGCCGATCCTCAAACTAATTTTAAATTGGCTGTTGTCGGAAGATAAATAAAAAAATAAATAAAAATGAAAATAAAAAGATAAATATATATTTTATTTTTCTAAGATTATAATTCCTGTAAATTTTTTTTTTATTTTTTTTTAATTTTTTTTTTATTTTTTATTTTTATATAAAAAGCTTATCTGCATTTTTTTGGTCACAATCAAAACAATTTATAAAATGAAATTTTTAATATTACTTAGATCCATAAATATATCTGGTAAAAATATAATTAAAATGAAAGAGTTAAGAGAGGAACTAGGTAAATTTAAAAGTTTTAGTAATATCCAAACATTAATTCAAACAGGAAATATTGTGTTGGATTGCGATCTGGAAGAAAAGGAAATCGAAAAAAACATTTCATTTACATTGGAAAACTCATTTAACGTATCAAATCCACAAATGGCAATATTCAATTTAGATAAATTCAGTAATATACTATCCAAAAGTGCAAATGCAATTAGTGGTCATGATCAAGTTAATTCATTTGATAGGCTGACTTTAATATTTCCAACAACAGATACCCAACTACTAGAAAGAGATATAGATGAAAGTGAAAAGAAAAATATGACTGAAAGTTGTTTTTGGACAATTATAGATGATGTTGTTTTTTATAATGGTAAAATGTCGGGTGTTGACGCTAAAGTTTATAAAAGATTGGACAGCAAATTAAAAAAACTAAGATACACAGCAAGAAAATACAGAACATGCAACAAATGTCTGGATCTAATGAAATAAATAAATAAAATATAAATTAAATAAAATATAAATAAATAAAAATTTGTTTTTTGGGTTTATTATGTGATTAAAAAATATTTATTAATCACGATAATTTAATATTGGATAAATTTTATTTGAATCGATATCAAAGAACTTTAAAACTTCGTCCAAGTATGACTCTACTTTTTCAAATGATATACATTCATGTTCAGTTAATGATAAATGATGCACAACAAATGAATCGATTTGTAAAGATACAGAGAATGATATTGATTTTTGCGGATTAATTAAACCAATATAGGCATCTAATAATGATTTAAATTCTTGAACATTAATTGTATTGTCATCTAATGAAAATATTTCATAACAGACTACAATAGGTATTAAAATAAATAATTAATATTAATAACATTATAATACTATAATTTTAAAAGTGAATAACTTACATTTTAATCTTTCTAAATAATTTCCTTTCGAAACATTAATTAACATGTGAATAAAAACATCTATTACAATTAAATCATCCAAATCTTCATCCAATAATTTGAATATTAAATTGATAATATCATTTCTATTTTTCCAGGGTAATGGAAGTATATCTCTTGAGATTTCTGTAAACTTTTGTTTTGAAATACCAAATTTGTTTGGTGATAAAGAGGCAGATGATTGGAAATAGTCATATAGTTTCTCTGCATCTGATGTTGTCATAATTGGTGCATATTTCTCTACCCAATCACGTATTTTTGATTTTTTATTTGAAACCTGCATGGTTTTAATTGCCATTATTTTATTTGTATTTCTAAGTTGTTCGATTTTATCTGATTGCAAATTATCATAGTCTTGGAATGAAACGTTTAAGAGGTACTCTGGGTTTTTAACTGGGGTCTTTAGGAGCAATAATATATCTTCAGCTGATTTACAATCTAAAATATTTTGTTCGTTAACCTTAAAGAAAGCCAATGCAACCTTGAAAAGAATTTCAGGGCCTTCATAAAAGAGACAATCTAATACACGTAAACTTAATTCGGTTTGAAGATATCCAATGAATAAACACAGTAACCATGGTAATATAATCATTGAAAGTGGGCAGTTTACTTTTTTTAAATGTTGATCTATTGATGGTAAATAAATTGCAAGGAGATTTTCTAAAGTCTTTTGATCAGCAATACTACCAACCATACCTGGTCTATAATAGTCTGGTACCAAATCTTCACATAGGGTGCAAAGTAACCAAAATGCTTCTTCTTCTTCGAGGTATAATAAAAATACTGCGACCACAATGTTCATTGATTGGGTGTAGCCAATTGAGGGATTTCTCCAACTGTATGCTGTTAAAATATTTTTTAAACATTCTTGACCCTTTTGAGCAGGTGGTCTGAAAAATGAGTGTTTTGGGAAGCTACGGTGTATATCCTTTTCGATATCACTTGTACTTGAGTTACTTTCATTTTGGTGAGTCATTAGTAATTGACGATAATAATCTGGTGTATGACAACAGCTTTTATAAAGTGCCCCTGATGATAATAACCAAATTTTTCTTTTCAATTGATCTGGTATACCTGAACGAATTAGTCCTTTTAACTCTTCTGTTTTAAACATTGTAATACCATCACCATTAAATGCAAAATATTGTTCCCATAATTGAGTGAGTGTTGATTGTTTCTGTTGATAGTCACAAGAAAACTCTTTTCGGTCATCTAATAATTCTTTAGTGAAGCCGACATGGATAGGCATATCTTGATAGTTGTGGTTTAAAATGATACCTGCTTGTTGGTAAAGTTGATTTATATTATTAACCTCTTGCCATATTTGTCTAATTAAATCATATTTTTGATCGATAATTGATGAAAAGAAATAAAGTTTTTGATTGCCTTGATATAATTGAACCTTCATAGTGTTACCTCTTGCACCAATTGACTTTTCATTGCTTAATGATTGAATCTCTCTGAATGGCAAACTTAAAATTGAATCGGTTGATTCAAAACATAAAAATCTATTTGAAATATATATTTTACCCATGATTTCATATTGTTGGTTTCTGCATAAACTTGCTTGGAATTCATCAATTAAAATTTCAGTATTTGGTAATCTAAATAAATCTTGATAATCTTCATTTTTTTTATGATTATTTAATAACTCTTTAACACTACTTATTATTGATAAATTATTATTATTATTATTATTGTTATTATTATTACTGTTGCTATTAATTTGACCATTATTTGGTGAGTTTGGTAAATTTGGAGAGTTCAAACCATTTGTACCATTTGCTACATTATTATCTCTTGATAAATTTAATTGACCTGGTGTTGTTGAAGTTGGTGGTGAATTAAAAAATATAAAATTACTACTGCAACTTAATGGAGTTGTTGAAAGTGGGGATATTGAAGGCTGCATATATAAACTACTACTAAGTAAATTATTATTGTTACTATTATTATTATTATTAATTATTGGTATTGATAAACTACTATTTAATTGAAAACTTGTATTCGTGGAAAAAATCTCTGGAGATCCTGCTTGATTATTAATATTGGTATTATTATTGTTGCCATATGATGTACCAAATAATGAATCAATTGTTGTGGTGTTTTGAGTAGATGTTGCATTAAAGAAATATGATCCCGATGATTTTAAACTTGTTGTGCCACTGTTTGGTGTGGAATAAATAGATAATGAATTTTGATTATAAATTTGTTGTGATTGGTGTAAATTGGATTGTTGGTTTTGATAACTTGTACTACTATTATTGTATGGTTGTGATTCAATATTAATTGATGGTGAAACTATTGGGATTATAGTTGAACAAGATAGGGGTGTATTACTACTACTGTTACATATATTATTACTATTGCCATTGCATGTGAAATTTGAAGTTGAATTATTTAAACTATTGCTTGTGATACCCTTATTATTTGATAGCTCTGCGGTTAATAGCATCCTGTCAATTGTAAATTTCCATAATTGCTCTAAAATTTGAAAAGTTTCGTCAACCTTAAAGAATGTGTGGAAAATGTACTCTCTTGATTCTGTTTGGATTTTAATTGAGTTTATTAATATCTTTAAAGTAGAATTTGAATTCTTCTTCATGTCGACGATATCTTTGAATGATATCGATAATTTTGTTGGGAATATTCTTGAAAAGAATGAGATGTAATTCTCTGATATATAAAGGCAACCATGTTTCTTTTCCAATGAGCAAGAGTACTGGGTTATTAATTTTTCGTTTATTTCAAATTGAAATTTCTTTTTGAATGATTTTTCTTTTTTTATTACATCTTTATCTTTTAGATCTCTTTCTCTTTCTCTTTCTTTATTGTTTTCGTCATGTATTCCCAAACATGTAAACTTTAGTGATAAATATTCAAATATTTCATTTATATCATTCTGGTTCATTTGCTCGACTTTGGGTATAACATTTAAATTTATCCATTTCCACATTTTATTAATTTCATGAAAATCATTTGATATTCCTATCATTAAATTTGATTTATTATTAAATGCAATTTTAAACTGGAAAAAAAAAATTAATAATTATTATGATATTATATTTAGGGTATTATTTGATACATACATCTGATAAAGTATAGTAGTCATTAGATTCACTAATTCTTGTAACAACATCATTTAAAACTGGTATGCTTGAATTTCTTTTTAACAATTGAAAATATTCATTTTCATCAATTGTAACCCATCCCATTCTAAAAACAATTGTTCTTGGTTTAATCCATCCCATTTTTTATAGTATTATTATTATTTGTTGTTATTTTTATTTTATTATTACTACTATAAATAAAATATAAAAATATTAATTTTAAAAAACAAAAATAAATATAAAAAAAAAAAAAAGCTATTTAAAAAAAAAAAAAATTGGTATTAATACAATGAATGACACTATGTATTACTATACTATACAAATATGTATAATTTTTATTTATTTGTTTAAATGATTGTTTTGATGATCTAAAAACTAATAAAAATAAACACACACAAAAAATAAAATTAAAAATATATAACAAAATAAAAATAAAAATAAAAAAAAAATTATTAAAAAGTTTTATATGGAACTGATTGAAAAAGAAAAAACAAATAATATTAAATTATTGATATTATTTATATTGGTATATTACTATTGATTTTTTTGGATATTGTTATTGGGTTCTTTTTATTATTAAAATATAAAAGAGGATAATAATTTTTTCTTTTTTTTTTTTTAAAAAAAGGTTTTTTCTTTAAATATTATATTACAAGATTTTATACACTTGGGAGGATAGTTTTTGAATGAAATTGGTTGATACAAATTATAAAACCTGTTTGTTGAAGGTTTATTATTACTATTATTATTATTATTATTATTATTATTATTTTACTTATTTTACAAAGCTGGGAATGGTTTATAAAAGAAATAAAAATTAACAAATAAAAGTTTTCTGATATTGATATTTCTGCTATATAATTGCTTCTAAAATTGTACCATAAATGTAGTATATTTGCTTTTTTTTTAGTTTATATGTAGAAATGATAGAAAGCTGAATTCTGATTTAACTATTACTATTTCTATATTTTGATGATGTATAAATTAATATTTATTTTCTGTATTATTTAAAATTTTAAAAAAAAATAATAAAAAAATAAATAAAAAATAAAAAATAAAAAAACATGTAATATGCATATGTACTATATTATTTTTTTTAAAAAAAACAAAAATATTTAATAAAAATAAAAAAACAAATAAAAAAATAAATAATATGTAAATTATAAAGATAAAATTTTATAATTTTTTTTTTTTATTGTCTTTTGTGTATCTGCAAAACATCCAATCTAGATTTCCTATGAGTAGTGGTACAAACTAACACACAGTTTTTATTTATGACAATTGTGCTATATAACTATACAAACAAGACACAATAAAATAATGCTGTGTTCTTCCTTTCTAAAAATAAAAAAAATAAATATTTAAATTTAAAAAAAAAAAGACATAAATTTCTTTTTTTTTTTTTTAATTTAAAAAACTATAAATTAATTGTGGTTTTTAGAAAGAGACTCTATGTTATATGAAAACGTTTTAATTGTTAGAAAATGGTGTGTATGTGGTAATATATAATGCAATATTTTTGTGGTGTGTGTGTGTGTGTTAGTGACAATTATGATTTTTGTTTTTTTTTTTAAATTTTATGTGTGAAGGTTATTTATTTTGTACTTTACAACCTTAAATATAGTGCTATTTGTGTGAATATATAGGTTTACTATTAACTATTTTAATTTTAACCAACTTTTTTTTATTGGACAAAACCTAATAAAAAAACAAATACAATATACATACTATAGCTTTTGAAATAACTATTTGATTTTAATTTATAAAATTATTATTTTAATTTTGTTTTTTCATCATTATAATATTATTTTATTTATTATTTTTATATTATTTGTTATTAAAAATTATTATTATTTATTTTTATCACCTTTTTCATTTATTTGACTTTTAGTTGTTTTTAAATTTAATTTGATTTTTGATTTTGATTATTACACACAAAGAAAGGTAATTTATAAATTATTTTATTTAATATTATTTCTAGAAAATAAAAAATAAAAAAAAAAAAACTGCAAACCTTAAGAAGATATCTTAAAAAAAAAAATAAAAAAAAAAATAAAATAAAAATTTAAAAAAAAAAAATTGGGTGGATCAAGATATCTGGACTATTATTATTAGAAATATTATTTTAAATTTAGCTTTTTTTTTCTTTTTTTTTCGAAGTGGTTTTTGTTGTTGTGTGAAAGTGATATTAGGTTATTATTATGATTTGTGATATTTTTTGCTTTTTATTGGTGTCATAAATAAAATGAATTTATAACTTTATTATTATTTTTTTTTTGACACCAAAATTTAAAAAACAAAAAACAAATTTAAATTTTAAAAAAAAAAATAAAATAAAAAAAAAATATTGTTGTGGGGGGTGTGTTAAGTGTTTATTTCAAAGAAAATAGAATTGTGTGGGTTAACGATTAATGAAATTTAAATTGAATTACAATTGTGTGGTGTGTAATACAGATTTTATTATATATAATAATACTACAGTACACTAAATTTATTTTTATTTAAATGCCATATATTATATTATTCCTTTGAATAAATACTTTAGTTGTTCATCTGTGTAGTAATAATTTGAGTTGGGTGGTATAAAAAAAAAATTTGAAGAAATTTAAATTAGTTATGATAATAATATGATTTATTATTTATTTATTATTTATTTTTTTTAAAAAGCATTTTTTTTAAAGATAACAAAAAAAAAATAATAATAAATAAACAGAAAAAAAATAATAAATAAATAAAAAAATTAACGAAAAAATCAACAAAGATTATATAAATAATAAATTTAAAAAAAATAAAAAATAAAAAAAAATAAAAATAAAAAAATAAAATAAAATAAATGAACCAGAAAAAACAAAAAAAAAAACAAAAAAAGAAACAAAAAAAAAAAGAAAAAATAAAAAAACAAAAATAAATTTGAATTTTTGATTATGAATAAAAAAATATTCCAATAAATATCCATCAAATGTTTCAAATTTCCATGGATATGTCATCTTGCACACTGACACTTTCACACACCCAAAAATATCTTTTCGTTTTACGCTTTTTTTAAAAATAAAATTTGAAAAAAAAAAAAAAAAATTTAGAAATAAAAATTTATGAATACTTACAAGATGCAATAGTTAAAGCATTACCAGGAGCAATCCATAAAATTCTAGTTCCCATTCCTTTGACAAAAGCTTTTGGACCTTCTTCTTTTAAAATTGTTTTGAAGCTATCAAACATACCTTTATAAATTTGTTTTTCAGTTGAACGTTGGACTTGGATACGAGTCTTGATTACATCCAAAGGACAAGTTACAGCAGCTGCAAAAGCACCTGCAAAAAATCCAGAGCCTAATTGATAAGGTATTGGTAAATATTGATCAGGGCTGTAATGAAGAGTAGACGATATGAACGATTTGCATTTTTCATAAACTGAGAAATAAATACCAACAAATGGACCGTATGTTAATAATGCTGGCATGAATCCACGATAAAAGCCTTTGACACCCTCCTCTTTCATAATAACTTTGGCTGCATGAAAACTTCCTTTATAATATGTTTGGTTTGGGTTTAATTTTTGTGTATTGGTTTGAACTTGAAGACGTTGTTTGATGATATCCATTGGAACCCAAACTAATGATCCTAATGCATCCGCTATAAATCCTGCTGTAAAATGTGAAATGGCGCTGTCACCCCATTTAGGTCCTAATTTATCAATCATTAAGCTTTTGCTGTATTCATAACCTAAAAAATATAATGCATGTGCTGGAACTGTGGCAGTTGCAACAATGGGGAATCCTTTATACAAATAACTTGCTCCTTCATTTTTAATAATATGATTTAGTGCATGAAAGGTTCCTCTATATTGTGATTTACCAACTTTCTAATAAATGTAAAATAAAATTTAGTATATATGTTTTAATGATTTTTATTTGATAATAAGTAATCATACTTCGATTTGAATTCTTGCTCTGATAGTATCTATTGGATGCATTAACGAATCGGCAACCAATCCACTAGTTGCACCTGTCAATATATAAAGTAATGGTGATTCTTTTTTATCTTCTTTTAAAGTCATTTTTTTAAATTAATTTATTTCAAACGAGGGTTAAAAAAAAATTAAAAAAATTATAAAATTATAAAATTATAAAATTAAAAAAACGAAAAAAAAAAAAATAAAAAAAAATAAAAATTTTATGAAAAAATAAAATAAAATGATTTGTTTTATATAATTTAGTGATTAAAAATTATCGTTATCGTTTATCGTTTTTTGGATCATCTGGAACAAATTTATTCAAAAACACAATTTAGCGAATCATTACCAAGTTTATTCAATACTATTTTATCAATTGTAAAAATATTACAAGATATTGGTTTATTTGTTAAAAATTAAAAAAAAAACTTGTGTTTATTTTATTACAATTAAAATTATTTTTAATATAAATTTATATGCAAATTGTTTGCTCCCAGAATAGAACTATTTAATGGTTTTAAAATAAAATTAATAAATAATAAAAAAAATTAATTATTTTTATAAAAAATTTTAAATAAAAAAAATTAATTACCTTATTTTTATAATTTTTTTTTTATAAAAATATGGTAATTTTATAATAACCATGATTATTTTAACTTAAACTTAAAATATAATTATTTTATTCTTTTATAGAGTATTAAAAAAAAAAAAATTTAAAATAAAAAAAAATTAAAATTATATATTTTAAAAAATTTTTTTCTTCCTTATAGTTTTTTATATAAATTTTTTTATAAATATATACTACATATCTTTATAGCTTTATTTTTATACATCCTTATATTTTAATCATATTTTATTATTATCGTTAATTTATATATATCACACACATTTTATAATTTTAATAATTTATTACTTTATTTTACAAACTTATTTTATAAAAATTAAATTAACAAAAGAAAAAAATCATCAAGTTATTAGAGGACATGTTAGTCCAACTTTAATATTCCAGAGGCGAAAATAAATCATTTTTTAATGAAGGTAATAGAGCCGCAAAGAAAATGATTAAAAAATTTAGAATTTACCAATTACCAATCCAACCAACTACTTTGGTTGTAAATTATTTTAATGTTCACCAACAATTAGAAGAAGATGAACAACAATTAGAACTCAACAGGATCAACAAGTAGAAAATCATAATTTAGCACCTAATGAACAAGAGGAGCAACATGAAATCGATAGTGACAATGACTATGAATACGAGTGAAATCAATCAAAATAAAGCTGATAATTTACAAGAATTTTTAAATAATTATCAACCACCTGAAATGTAGCATATCAGTATAGATCAAGAACTCAAAGTTATTCAAACTCTCCGAACAACTTTATAGAACCAATGACCAATGTATATAGATCATCGTAACCAGTCAAAGAGGATACACCTAACAGTGAGCTCAGATCAATCTACCAAAGAACCTCCGATCATACCTCTTGGCTTCAAAAAAGAAAAAGAAAAATAATAAAATAATAAAACTATAAAAATATTAAAATTAAACCTTAAAATTAAATAAATAAATAAATAAATAAATGATTTAATTAAATCGTTTGACCATAATCAGAATATTCAAAAAAAACATATGAGCATACATTCATGTGCACATCTATATAAAAAGTAATAACATTTATTAACACACCACCAAAATTTCAGGGGCAACACAAATGCTGTAAATATTTAGAAACAATAATATAGGGTTATTTTATTTAAATATTTTGTAACGTATTATCATCGATTGTAATGAAAAAGGATCATTACTTAATAATAATCAACAATAATTAATAATAAAAAAAAAAATTTTTAAAAATTTTTTTTTTAAAAAATAAAAAAATAAAAAATATAAAAAACTTTTTAATTTTCGAATTTTATAAAACATAAACAATTTCATATAATTTTATTTTATTTAATTATTTGATCATTGTTCCTTACACTTTTTTTTTATAATCAGTTTTTGTTATATCCTTGCCGACAGGGTGAATTAAAATCACGTTGGGGTCAAATTATTCATCATAATTAAAATTTAACAAATTTACAAAAAAAATTGAGAAATTTACGAAATTGGCATACAATGGAAAATCAATTAATGATTTTAGAGGAGAAAGATATCCAAAAGATGTTAGAAATTGGTAATGAAAGATTATCAGAGCAAGAATATAATCTACTTGCAAATTTAATGAAGACCGTTCAAAAATCGGTAGAAAAAAACGATATGCAAAGGAGAGTTATTGAAAAATTTAACAAAGAATTGGCAATTGCAAAGAATACCATCGTAGAGTTAGAAAAATTAAATAGTGAGTTATTTTATAGAGAAGAAAATGGTGCAAAACTATGGATGAAAATGAACACTCTTCAACTAGAAAAATTAAAAGAAGCTGAAGAAAAAATTAAGTTAGCTGATAAAATTCTTGAAAAGAAGTTAGATATTTCAAGAAGAGAGGAAACGAAGGAAACCATTATCAAAGGTGATGGTAAAAATGGAAAGGTAGTCTCAATTAATAGCAGAAGTTTTGCTTCCGTTAAACTTAAAGCCAATCTGTTAAATGCATTAAATGACCGAGTGACCAAGGATAGCATGGATTTTATTAAAACGGTTAAATATTTGTTGGGTCTGGAAAATATTGATTCAAAAGTATACGATTACATTCACGTCGTAAGGTTTTTAATTTATATAGTACTCATAGGCAATGAAAAAAATGAAAATTTAAGATTGCAACTAAGAATATTGGAAGAAGAAAAGGAAATGAAAAAAGAAAGAATATTAGAAAGCGAGATAATCAATATTATCGATCGTAATTTAGAAAGGAGTAGTGACAAACAAGAGTCAAAAGAAGAAACAAAATATAGATTCAGAGGTAACTGCAACATATGCAACAAAAGAGGTCACAAAGCAAAACATTGTAGAGATAAACCCAAAGGAGAGTGCTGATGACTCAAAACCTAGTTCCATTCTGTTAAAGGTTTTAAATGATCAAGTAAACAAAGACAGCACTGAATTCATTAAGGTGGTTAAATATATGTTGAAACTAGAGAAGATTGATTCAAATGTGTACGATTACATTCATGTCGTACAATTTTTAACCAATGTGGCATTACAAGGAAATGAAAAGAATGAAAATTTAAGATTGCAACTAAGAACATTAGAAGCAGAAAAGGAAACAAGAAAAAATTTTGGAAAGCGAATTAATCTATATTATCGATAATATTACAAATCCAAAAGCAATGATGTCTGATGTCTATGAAAAGATATACAAGGCCGGTTGTAAAGTTATCTATGATGGTGAAAATTTTGTCGCTATACTTTTAACATACAAGAGTCCACTTTTTTATGGGAAAAACTCATTTCAAGTTCAAGAAGTAATTGGTGAAAATTTAAAGAGTGGAATTAGAGATAGATTTATTCAAGAGTGCAGTATGAAGTCTAAAGGTGAAAAGAGAAATTTAAGTACTGACGAAATTATTGAAGTATTAACAGATTTGGGTAATCAAAGAAAATCGAAGGAGCTCCAAAATAAGAATTTTTTAGTAAATGCTCTAAGATCAAATAATTAAATAAAATAAAATTTATATAAAATGTTTATGTTTTTGTAAAATTCGAAAACTAAAAAGTTTTTATTTAATTATTTGATCTTAGTACCTTACATTAAGTAATGATCCTTGTTCATTACACTATCTTCTGTAATGTAGATGGAGCTACTTTAGTTATAGATAAATAATAAATATAAACTAAAACCGAAAACTGAAAACTAAAAAATAAAATTTTATTTTTTAAATTTTTAAATTTTTTTATTTTTATTTTATTTTTAATTTTTAATTTTTAATTTTAAAATAAAGGAAAATATAAATATATTATTTAGTTGAGATATAATTATAATTGTAATATTCATTTAATTCTAAAATGCATTACAGTGTAAGGTACTAAGATCAAATAATTAAATAAAATTTATATGAAATGTTTATGTTTTTGTAAAATTAATTAATGTTGATTATTATTTTTAAACCTTGTAATGTAGATGGGGTATTATATACTTTAAGATAAGTTGTTGTAATGAACAAGTACTAAGCTAGCTACTTTAGAATATATAATAAATTTTAAACACTCAAGAAATAAAAAAATTAAACAATGTTTTTTTTTTTATTTTAAGAATTAAAAAAATTAAACAATGTTTTCAATTTTTTATTCTAAGAAATAAAAAAATTAAAAAATGTTTATTTTTTTTTAATTCTTGTGATAAATCACCCGAAAGATAAAATTATTAAAAAAGCTCCCCATTCGGGAATCGAACCCGAGGTACCAGTGTGAAAGACTAGAGTGTTACCGACTACACCAATGAGGAAATTGGATGAAATAAAAATCTTGAAATTTATGGAGTGTTTTTTTTTCAAAAATACCAAAAAAAAAATTTGCCAAAAATATTAATTTTGTTTTTGAAAATGTAATCGTTCAAACTTTTAAATTAGTGTAATTGATTTTAAAAAAAAATAATTAATATTTTGAAATCTTATGGGGATTTAATTTTAAATATGATAATAAATAATGGTTTTAATTCTCTAATTTTTTTATAAGTATATCGAAACTTATAATATTTAATTTAAATATAAAATTCTTTACTGTATTTATTTAAAAAAAATTTATTATTATTTTAATTTTTTTTTATTTTTTTTTTTTTAATTTTATTTTTTTTATTTTTTTTATTTTTTTTTTTAATTTTTAAATTTTTTATAAAAAAATTTATAAATGAATAATTCAACAATTTTACATAATGATATAGTTTTTTTTAGTGTTTGGAGAAATGTTTATATTAATTCAATAATTTTTTTTCATTTAAAAAAAATAAATAAATATTATTTTAAAGAAGTTATAAATGGGGAAGAATTAGATCTTTTAAAAAAAAACAAATACTATGTATCAGATTTATATATATACGAATCATTTAAAATGGGTGATATACCACATAATGTTGTCAGTTTAACGTTTGGAGAGGATGTTTCAGTAGAATTAGAGCCAGGTATGATACCAAGTGTAACCAAACTGGATCTGGGATATTATTACAACACCAAATTATTAGTGGGCAGTCTCTCAAATAATTTATTATCACTATCTCTCTCAAATAACTACAACTATCCATTGGACATCGAGTTACTTCCATCTAGTTTGAAGTATATTAAATTTGGTAATAGATTTAATCAACCTTTACAACCAAATACACTAAAAAATGGTATTGAAGAGATAGTATTCGGAAAAGAGTTTAACCAACCATTATCGATAGGGACAATACCACCATCAACGAAAAAAATAATTTTCGGTGATAGTTTTAATCAAGTCATATCAAGTGGCCAAGTACCACAGTCTGTAACAGAGATTAGTTTTGGTTTAAACTATCAAAAAAAACTATTGAAAAGCTCAATCCCCTCGAGTGTCACCAAAATGACAATTCACAGTGGCCTTTTCAATATCATTAAGTTTAAAAATATACCCAATGTAAAGAAACTAAAATTAAAAATTCACGATTATGTATATTTCAAACAAGACAACCCAATACCGCCAATCACCTATTTAACTATAGATACATTTCAAAAGATAGATCTCAGTTATTTCCACATACCCTCAATAAAAAAACTAAAATTAGGGCAATTAAATCAACCAATAGCATCTCCAACATCTCTGCCCCCAAATCTAGTTTCATTATCTTTTGGTAAATTTTTAAATAGAATCGAACCAAACAGTTTACCAAGCTCAATTACGAAAATTGTATTTTCATCCTATAATAGTCCGTTGCAACCTTTGGTTTTACCCAAAAACCTTGAAATTATAGAATTTGGTCAGTTTTTTAATCAAGAAATCATCAACGACAATTTAATTCCACCTAAAGTCCACACAATTATATTTGGAGACTCGTTTAATCAACCTTTAGTTAATCTACCGCCCTCCATCACTATGCTAGAGGTGGGTTATCTTTTCAATCAACCTTTAGCCCATTTACCAAAAAATATTAAAAAAATAATAATCTCTAATAATTATAATCAAATATATAAACAACAATTTTTAAAAGAATATAATATTAAAAAACAACAAAACATTAACAATAAAATTATTTATGACATTAGTCATTAGTTAAATAAAAGTATTTATTTATTTATTTATAAATTTGATTTTACAATCATTGAGGCTATATCTGACTTTACAAATGATTGAGATTTATCTTCTTTATTTTCTTTGGTGTGGTCTAAAATCGTTTTCGGAATAAAGTATACACATAGCGGGTCATATTTAAAAAATGATTCTAAATTGTTATTTAAATATTCTAAATGTTCCAATTCACTTGATTTGGAGTTTACTATGTTTTTAAATCTTGAAAATAGCTATAATGTAAAATAATATTATTAGTTTTTTTTTAAAATGGTTTAAATTTAGTTTTTAAATTATTTAGTTACCAAAGTATGCCTTATAAATAAAAGGGTTGACACTAAACTGTAAACCATAATTGAATAGATCATTAAATAAAATGCTGAATGATTTTTTAAATGTTTGGAGTCATCTATTCTTATATAATAAAATACCAAAATTATAAATAATAAAAATAATATAAATGCTATATACAATATTACAAAACTTCTAAATCTATTTATGAAAGTAAGTCTAATATTTTTAAATAAAAACTTTTCATTTAATTCATGAAAAGATTTATAATGAAAATAATTCTATAGAAAAAAATGATAATCAGTAATTTATTTTATTTTTTAAATTTTATATTTTATATTTTTATATTTTTATATTTTTATATTTACCCTTCTATAAATTGAATTTGAAATTAAAATTAAAACTGTAAAAATGAAAAGTAAAAGAAAATAAACTCCAATTATAGCGGTATTCGAGGTATTAATTGAAATAATTGAGGGAATTAAATTGTAAAAGATGGTTAAATAAATTCCTAATAATAGTACAGAGTGTGGCTTTTGATAGTTTATAAATTCGTTGGTAGTTTTTATTATTTTGTAAAAATCTTTTTTAGAGATGATTTCACCCTCCTCCAAATGCTGCGGAAAGGGAGTAGTGGGATCTATATGGATTTCATATTGATAAAATTTCGGTTGTGGGGAATGAATTTTCTTATAACATAATTTAAATTCGTATAATAACTCTTCCTTATAAAAGTTATTATAATTTATCATTGTTGTAATTTTATTATTATTATTAATTGTTTATAACTGAATATTTGAGGAAAAAGGTCAAAATTTTTAAATTTTAAATTTTATTAAAAAATTAAAAATAAAATAAAACAAAAAAATTAAACAAAAAAAAAAAAAAAAAAAAACTCTTATTTTTTTTTAATTTTTTTTTTTTTCTTTTTTTTTCTTTTTTTTTTCATTTTTATTTTCAAACTATACATAGTAATTACTGTCATATCCAACAATCACACTAAACAATTTGATATCAAATTATTCACAATAATATTAAATTAAATTAAATTCTAAATAAAATCGGTAGAGAACTTAGGGTTTTTTTTAAAAATTTATAAATAAAAATTTTATTTATTTAATTATTACTATTGATTCTAAATGGATCATCTGAACTAGTATCAACAAGCATACCTAAATTTTGGTTGTTATAGTTGTTTTGGTTATTATTGTAGTTGTAACTATTATTGAAGTTTTGGTTGTTGTTATAGTTGTTTTGGTTATTATTATAGTTGTTAAAATTATTTTGTTGGTTAAAGTTGTTTGTATTATTATCAAAACTATTATCTTCAAAAGCATTGTTTTTTATATTATTGTTGTTAGTTTTAAAATCTTCATCATCTTCTTCCTTTGGGATTCCATTTTCTTTTGGATATGAGATTAAAAACGAATAAGGCTTGGCATAATATTCACATAAACCATTTAAATAATTAATATGATCTGTCTCGACTCTACCACCACGACATGAGAAATTTGAAAGTAACTATATTTAAAAAAAAATTATTAATAACTATATATTTTAATAAATTGTAAATTTATATTAAAAATAGATATTTACGACAATGTGTCTAATGAAAAATGCAATTCCCAAAACATCGGCGAATAAAAAGAACGAAGAAAAAGCTAATAAAAACTTATAGTTTTCTTCTTTTTCACTCTTGGTAACTAATAAAATTTGAATATAAATTTGGACAGAGAAACATAATAATACAAAGAATGCAGTGGGAATGGTTTTTCTATATTCAAACTTGACACTCTTTTCTGAGTACTTTGTATTTAAAACTCTAACATAGTTTGTGATCTTTATAAATAAAAAATTAAAAAATAAAATTTGTTTAATAAAAAATATTTTTCAAATTTTAATAGTGTTTTACTTACTTTTATACCAAATGCATAAATATAGGATGCAATTATTAAAATTGAAAAGAAACCAAAAATAATATAATAAATAAATAAATGACTAAAGATACCTCTCATACTAATTGAAGTTGGTATGATGCACCAAAATAAAATACAAAATACAACAAAGGTATAGATATTTTGGGGTTGGTAGAAATGAGAAAAGCTTAAAAGCTTATTAATAATTTCTTGATATTGCTCTTCTGAAATTGAGTTCTTTAGTTCAAATGGATACTCTTCATCATATTGTAAAGCATACTTGAAGATTGAGCCTTTTTTATTTGGGTGTAATGAATATTTGATATTAAATGTGGATGTTACAACCTTCTTTTCTGGTTCTTTTTGAACTAATTTTTCATTAATCATTTTTGTTTATATAAAATTAAATATACACTATCAGTATATAATATTTAAAAAATAAAAAATTTTATAAAATAAAAATTTTATAAAATAAAATTGGGTAAAATTTTTTTTTTTTTTTTGTGAAATTTTCAAAATATCTTTATCGGAAATTAATATCATAAAAAAAAAAAAAAAAAAAAAAAACTTAAATTTTCGAAATTCGAATTTTAAAAGACGTCTGTTTGTTTTTTTTTTTTTTATAACTATAATATTTTTTATTTATTTATAATAAAATATTTTTTTTTAGTTGTTATTTAAACATTATGGTCCAATAGTGGTGCAGAGTCATTGTAATTGGGTGTTATTAAGTCAATTTCTTCATCGACTACGCTGGTATTAACTGGTTCTCTATAGGTGATTATTAATGATTCTATAAAAAATAATTGAGATAAATCATATTGGGTGTTTCCAAAAAATATTTTTTTTAGTTTTGAAAATAGCTATAATAAAAAAAAAAAAATTATCAATATATATTAAATTTAAACTATAAAAGGATTTTAAAATATTAATACCTACAATTATATTTTTAATAATATTTAAAATAAAAATTATAAATATTGAAATAACTATATAGCTTAGGCTAATAATATATTTGCTTGGGTTTCTTTCGTATATTAATTCGAGCTGAAGGAAAAATGGGATTAATAAAAACAAAACTTTACCAACAAAACTGAATGAAAATGAAATATTACTTCTTTCAGTTTCATATTTTGTTTTGAATCTAATATTTCTTTCTTTAAATTGTTTATTTAGTCTATTTAAAAATCTTTTGAATTTGAATGATTTCTATAATAAATTAAAAAAAAAAAAAATTAATAACTTTCTTTTATTTATTTATACATTAATTACTTACATATAAGCATTTAGAAAATGTTACGATAACATATAAAAAGTGTAATAGTACTAAAGAGAAAAAAATGGTACATGTTAACTTTGTTATATAGTTGGTGACTACCATTAACTGTAAAAAAAGGTACAATGTAATTGATTGTAATAATACAATCATGTATGAGTGTGGTTTTGTCATTTTTATTGAATTGATATCATCAAGAATTTGAAAAAATTCTCCATATGATAATACATTTTTTAATTGTGAAGGAAATAAATTTAAAAAAACAATATCATAATTAAAAAAAGATTCATCATTTTCGACAAAACTACTTTTTAGTGATAAGTTTTTTTCTTCCATTTTATTTCTTTTATATATATAATAGAAAGATAAGATAAAAAATATTTAAATTAATTTGTTTTTTAAAAAATTTTAAATAATATGATTCTTACTTATAATAATATTAATTGTTTCATAAAATTAGAAAAAATAAAAATAGAAAAAAAATAAAAAAAAATAATTTAATTATTTTGAGATTTATAACAACATGAAAATAATAAAAATAATTATATAATGCCATAGGGGTTATACTTTTAAAAAATTCATTTTTATTTTTTAATTTTTTTTTTTACTATATATATTTTAAAGATGTGTGAGTGGGGTTAGTTATATAAATATATATATATAATGTTAAAAACTCTATTCAATATTAAACTTATTTGTAAATTACAAAAAATTAAATTATCACAGAAAAGAAACAAAAAATAAAAATAAATTAAAAAAATTATCTTAAGATAACCAAAAAAAAAAATAAGATAAACTGATGCCAGTGTGTTTTTTTTTTTATATTAAATTTATGAATATTTATTATTATTATTTATTATGAGTTATTAATCAATTATTAATTAATTATTAATTAATTATTGATTTAATAATGATAAAATTTTTCTTGATGCAAGTTGGATCGATTTATTTGAAGATGATTGTAAAACTTGTAATTGGAAATCAACACCAACCTTTTTAAGAGCATTGTGATTTATTGGTTTTTGGACTAGAATTAAAATAGTTTTAATAGCAAGAGTTTTAAATACTTCTTCGTTTCTATCTAAACAGCTTATAATAAATTCTAAACATTTGTTTGATTCTCTAATAATAGCTTGACCTTGTTCATCTAAAGCAAAGAAAGAAATTGCCCAAATTAATCTTTCTAAAATATCTACATTTCTAGTTGTACCTATAAAATCTATTAAGAATTTCAAAGTATTCTTTTGTAATAAAACTGATCTACATTCAGCAGAGGATGTTAACCAAGATATTGTTGAAATGGCCTCATCTTTGATCGAGCTTGCTTTATCTTCTAAATTATTAACTAAAATTTGAAGAATTCCCATAATATGAATGTTCATTGAAAGTTTGCTATTCATTTTAGCTAATGAACTGATGAATTTTAAGCTGGTAATTTTAACTTCATAATTTTTCTCGAAACGTAATAATAAAGTTGATACGATTGAAACAGCCATAGTTTGTTCGATAGTTTCGATACATGAGCTTTGTGATGAGAATAGTGTTAAGCAACGGAGGATCAAAACAATTAATGATGGTTTGCAAGAAGAGTTTGAAAGAATTTCGACCATTTGTGGGATGATTGATTTTAATTGATTTCTTGATGGTTCGTGATTAATTAAAGAGTAAACTACTTCAAAGATTCCTTCTAAAATTTCTGGTTGTTGGTTGTAGTTTATTAATTTAACAATGTGATTAATTCCTTGAGCTTGGTGGAAATCTTCATATGCAATACCGTGATATCTTAATAATGAGGCTAAACATAAAAGGATAGGTGGGCAGGTATCATCTTGATTGGAAGAAGCTAATAAATGAACCAATAATTGGATGCATCTTTCTTCAATTAAGAGTTTTCTAAATTCATTATCTTTGGCCATGGTTTCAATAATTTTGAGTGAGTGAAGTCTTAAAAGTTTTTGTGGTGATGATAAGAGTTCCATAAGTTTTGGAATAATACCGGCATTGTGTAATTGAGATTTGCAATTTTCATTTGAAATTAGGCAGCAAAGGGCTAATAAAGCTCTCATTGAAAGACTGGTATTGTTTGAATTTAATAGTTCCAAAAGAACAGTTAAACCATTTAATTGAATGAAATGATTTTGGTTTTCTTCGTTTAAAAGAACACGTGACATTGCGCCTACTGATTGAATTAAAATAGTTTCATCATCACTATAGAGGAGGGCAGTGAGTGTATTGAGAATACCACTATATTTGAGTTGAAGTAAATGTTGTTCATCAGCTAATACAGAGACGAGTTTAATGGTATTCAATACAATGTTTGGATTATCAGAGGCAATAAATCTTGAAAGAGGAGCAAAACCACCAGCTTCAATAAATTCGTTTGATAGTTGTTCGTTAGTAGAAAGTGAGTAGATGACTCTTAATAATTGTTCTTCAATACCTGGATGATTAGTTATAGAGCAAAGAGACTTCATTAAACCAATACCAACCATTTGTGAGTGATTTTCTGGTGAGCTTAAACTTTCTAAAGCTTTAAGGGCACGTTTAAGTGAATCTTGGTTTGGTTCATTGAGCATGGTGAGAATACGTTCTAATACCAATAACATCTTTCTATTAAGCTCACCAGTTTCAGAGAATTGGTGTTTGGCAGCAATGTTTGATGATGGGGAATTGGCTCCGGCTTGAACTTGGGTGGTTCCAGTTGAAATAGTTGGTTTAGCAATTGAAGCAGATGGTGAAAGAGCGAAAATACGTTGGAATGGTTGAGAAAGAATCTTTGAAATTGTAAGGAAAGTAGGTCTTGATGAAGCATCTGGGTTCCAACAGGCACGGATTAAACGATTAAATACAGTTGGGATGTTTTCTGGAATTTCTGGACGAACACCAGATAAAATGGTATCACTAATACGACTAATATGAATATCTGGGAAAATTGGGGAACGAGTAAACAATTGTAAGAGGATCATGGAGAAACTGAATTGATCACTGAGAGTATCATAGGAGTTACATTGGCTGGTAATAATTTCAGGAGCCAAGTATGGGCTACTTTGTTGACCAGTACGGAAAACACCATCTTTAACAAAAGCAAAGGCATAGTCACGAATCAAGACATTACCAGTACGATTTTCGATTAAAATGTTGTTTGGTTTTAATGCACGATGAACAATATCGAGGCTGTGTAAATAAGTTAAAGCTTTAGCGACACCTAATGAAACTCTGTGGATAAATTCATTACTAATTTGATAGGATGAATCGTTTAAGAGAGTTTGAAGATTTGTTGCATCATACATTGGATGGACTACTAAAATATTATTATCCATACAACATCCACTTACTGGTACTAAATTTTCATGTTGTAAATCTTTAAGTTGACTAACTTCCAATTTGAATTGACCAAGGAATTGATCGGTAAATCTTTGGGTTCTAAGTTTTTTTAATATAGTTGGAATACCAAATGCACTACCTGTAAAGCAATCACCAAAACTACCCAAGCCTAGTTTACTACCCATTTGAATGTTTTCATCTGGTACAATCCAATTTGGTAATGGTTGAACTGTAGCAGCGATTGAGTTTACTCTTGAAACTTCATTATTAATCATTCTTTGTAATGGATCAAATGAAGTTTGTGGTGGTGTTGGTTGTTGAGTAGCAACTGTTGGTGGATTGGATCTTGTTGGTGGTGGAGTTGAACCTGGTGAGCTTTGTTTAGTTTGATTAACACTCTTTCTAGTATTAGTTGGAGATGCTGGTGCTGATGATGGATTGTGATATTCTTGAATCATTTCATCAAGTTTTGATGTAGCATTTTCAACTTTTTTAATTGGTGACTCTTCCTTTTCTTCTTTTGAAATTGATGAAATAGTCGATAAAAGTTCTTGTGGAATAACTGGCTTATTTGGTTCATTTTGTTTATTTGTATTCATCCAAGTATTTTCAATATCTGCTAATGCTTTTTCAATTTCACTACTAAAATCATCAACGTTAACTTGCTTAACAAATTTAGTTTGCTCTTGAGCTGGTGGTTGTTGAACTAATGGTTCTTGATTTGGTATTTGCTCTTGGGTTGGTGGTTGAACCAATGGTTCTAATGGCTTAGCTGGAGCTTTCTTAATCATTGGTTTAATGATTGGTTTTGAAATTGAGTTTGGTGGAATTGAGGCTGGATTTTTTGCTAATGGTTTCATTTGTGGTGAACCACTTGGTGAGCCTGTTGGAGGTTTGGCCAATGGTTTTGAAATTGAGTTTGGTGGAATTGAGGCTGGGTTCTTTGCTAATGGTTTCATTTGTGGTGAACCACTTGGCGAACCAGTTGGTGGTTTGGCTAATGGTTTACCAGTTGGTTTAAGAATAGATTGGGTTGGTGGGTGTGTGTTTGTAACATTATTAAATGAAGATTGTGAAGGTAATCTTTTTGGTAATGGTTTGCTTGGTGGTGGTGAGGCAGTTGTAATATTTGTTTGATCAATTTTCTTCCAAATATCTTTTGCACCAGTTGAAGAGATAACTGGAGATTCTGGGTGTTTTGTAGTGAAAATTGGTTCGACTGCTTCTTCTAATGTTGGAAGTTTTGGTGCAGAGCTTTCATTATCAGTTTGTGATGGATGTTCTGGTGAGCTTTCAATTGTAACGATAAGTGATTCTCTTGATCTTTCCTTAACCATTTGTGGAATTGATGAAATGATTTCTGGCAATGGCTCTTGTTCAACTAATACCTCGTCGTCATCTGGCATATTGATAAGAGATGGTGATACAACTATATTGCTATCAATAACCATAGAGAAAGAATCTTGAACAGAGGTAACAGTGGTAGTGGATGAAGCCAATGAGTCTTTATTACATTCTTCAAGAAGCTCTTCTGGGATACCATCCTCGATAATAGCACGATATAAAAGGTCTAAATATACTTTTTGATCAATGACCGAAGCAAATGTTGGGAAATCTGAATTGTTTGGTTGTAATTCATTTAAAAGAATATCAAGATAGTTATCTGACTCTTCTTTTGAAAGCTCTGTTAAGGGTCTAGTTTCTGAAAGGATTTGTGAAGCTGTAGCTGTTGGGGTAGATGGCGAAGATAGATCCTGTGATGATGATAAAATTTTAGCTTGCTGAAGATCGAATGGTGTCATTGTTGGCATTGGTGATGATGAACTGCTATCATGACTTGATGCAACTATTGTGGTTGTCGATGTTGAAATATTATTCATTGATTGGTGTTGTGGTGTTGAGGGAACTGATGCTTGTTGTTGAGAATCAACTAAACTACGGGATAAAAGATCAGTTGATCTTGATAATGTTGATAGTTTTGGTACCATATTTGCACCTACAGATGGTTTACGTTGAACAAAGCTTGTTGATCTATTTGGTGAAATTAATGGTGAAGCTTGTAATGATTTATTGGCTGGTGTGGATATTGGAGTTGTTGGATTTGAAGTTGGTAGCGGAGCTGAAGCAGCTTGTTGAATTTGTTTAGCAAAGAAACCTTCTGATTCTAATTTCGATGCTTTATTTCTTTCATCTTTTGAAATGGCAACCCAATTTAAATATTTAAGTTTTGGAAATTCATTAATAATAAATAATCTAAACTCTTCAATTCTCTTTTCGATTGGATTATTTTCAAATGATAAATACTCTAATGATTTTGATTTTTTTAGTGGTTCTAAAAATTTCTTTTGAAACTCTGGGAATGCCAAGTTAATGCTGTTGCTAGAAACATCCAATACTTTGAGAGATTTTAATTTGGCTAAATGATCAAAACCTTCACCCGACATTCTGTTACCGCTAAGATCGATGTTTGTTAGTTTTTTACATTCTGACATATCTGAAATACGGTCTAATCTATTGTTGCATAATCCCAAATATACTAATGATGATAATCCTTGAATTGAAAACTCTATAAGATTATTTCTATTTAAAACTAATCTTTTTAATTTTGTCAAATGACCTAATGATGAAATTTCAATAAATGAATTTGATGATAAATTTAATCTAAAGATTAAAAAAGAGTTAATACCATACTTTTATTTTTTAAATATTTCTTTTTTTTATTTTAAATATATATTACTTACTCTTTTAAAATATTTGTACATGATTTTAAAAAGTCATCATTCTCTAGCAAGTAAATGCCTTCGCTGAGATCTAGAAATACTGGATAAGATAATTTTTGAAAAAATGGTCTTGTATCTTTCTGGGTATAGTTTGTTACGACTTCACCTTCAACAAGTACTGGTAATTTAGTTATATTTCTAACCTTTTCCTTTGGGGCTGCTGGTAATTTTAATGTATTCTTTAATGACATTTATAATTATTATATATAATACATATATTTTATATTATTACAAATTTATATTATTATTACTATAGTTTAATATTTTAATAAAATGAAAAAAAAAAAAAAAAAATTTTGGTGGGATCTTTTTTTTAATTTTTTTTAATTAAATAATATTATAAAATGGTGTGATATTGTTTTTTTTTTCCTCTTTCTTTTTTTGAAACTTTACTATACACTTTGAGATTATAATTAAAAAAATAATAAAAATAACACCGATTGTTTTAATTGGAAGTTAGAGTTATTGTGTTTTGAGTGTTTATGTGTGTTTGTGTGTGTATATGTGGGTGGGAATGTTTTTTTTTTTTTTTTTTGTTTTTATGTGTGCGGAATGGATATAGAGATGTGTACTAAATAATTATTTTTGATATAAAAAATCAAAAACTATTTGTTATTTTTATTTAGGTTTTAATGTGTAAATCCTAAAAATAAAGTTTTA